CTGAAAAATACAGTAACCTAAATAAAAACTCACTGGGTGAGCTTGATTTTGAAATGGACATGGCAGAGACAAGAGTTATTAAACTTGAAGAGAGAACAAGAAGAGTTAACCTAATCTGCACATGAAGAGGGTGATAAGAGTGTGATGCTAAAAAAGTATTTAACAAAATGAGCTTTGAAGACTTCCCCAAATTTAGCAGAGAATCTCATAATGATTCAAGAAGCTCAGTGAACACAAACAATAAAACCAAAGAATTCCACATCCAGACACATTGGAAAGACACTGCTAAAAACTGAAGATAAATTAAAAATCATGAAATAATTCAGAGAAAAGCACAGTATGGTTGGGGAACAACATCTAAAATGACTGGATTTCTCATCAGAAACCAGGGAGGCCAGAAGAAAGTGGCACAATATTTTGTAAACAATGAAAGAAAATAAATTTTAGCTCAGAACTCCCCATCCAGGGGAATTATTCTTAAAGAATGAAAATAAGGGCCGGGGATTTAGCTCAGTGGTTTCGCCGCCTGCTGCGCAAGCACAAGGACCCGAGTTCGATCCCCGGTACCAAAAAAAAAAAGAATGAAAATGAAATAAAATATTCTCAGTTGAGGAAAACTAGAGGGAATCATTGCCAGCAGCCACTTCCAAGAATTTCTAGAGGGAATTCTCCAAACAGAAATGGTAAATATCTAGGTACTATTAATAGGCCACTTTCTCCTAAGTTCTTTAATATGAGTTTGACCATGAAAAGAAAAATTAAAACATCTGATGGGTTTTCACATGTATGTACGTGGAACACATAGATAGCTGTAACATAAAGTGGGGAGAGAAGGAAAGGAACCCAGATAAAGAAACCAGTATGCTGGTGTCCTAAAATTTATACTCAAAGGATATGAATTTGTGGAGGTGACCGAGTGATGGCACGAAGGTCAATGTCATTGAAAGGAGAACTTACTCCCTAACATTTCCTGAGAGAAGGGGAGAATCAGGTTTTGGTCAGCAGGCAGAAGCAGGATCAAGTGGAGAGAAAGCCTGGGTAGCATCCTTCTCTGGGGTGATACAGGGGAAGGGAAATATTTGAGCATTAATTAAGAAGAGAGCTGGGTGTGATGGCACATACCTATAATCCCAGCACTCGGAAGGCTGAGGCAGGAGCCAGCCTGGGCTACATAGTGAGTTCAAGCCAGCCTGAACTACATGGTGAAACTCTTGTCTCAAAAAAAAAGAGTGGTGGGAGAGTAGGCGCATGACACCGTATGGGGCATTCTGCAGATGGAATGTGTGCTCCAGGCAAGCTGGTCATCCATCCCAAGGAATTAGTTGCCCTTGCCCCTCCATGGTTCTGAAAGTGTCCCCACAATGTCAAAACTTGATGAGATACAGAAAATAAAAAAACGTAATTTATATGGATGGTAGTAAGGTTTAATACATGCCTCTCAAAATGATAGATTGTTGAGTCTAAGTGGATTGGGAAAATTACATATGTATATTGTAATCACTATTGTGACCACTTAAACAATATAAAGAGATACAGTTAAAAGGCAATAAGCAAATTATAATACTAAAAGTAGATGTATAGTGCAAAAAAAAAAAGCTGGGTAGGGAAAACAGGAACAAAATATAGGGGACAGGTAGAAAACAAAGACAAGTAAATTGGTAGATTTAAATCTAGATATACCAATCAAAAGACAAATTGTCAGGATGGATTAAAAACACATAACCAAACTATAGTTTTTTTAAGGAATTCATTTCAAAAATAATATAGGTATACACTCAGAGTATAACTATTCAAAAAATAAATGGAAGAAAAATACACCATGTAAACTATCATCAATACTATTATCAGACAAAGTAACTTTCAGAGCTAAGGAAATCCCCACAGATGATTGTAGTACATAATGATGAGGGTCATTTCAAGAAGGAGAGGTTATGTAACAATGCCAAATGTGTGTATTCCTAGCAGTGGAGCTGCAAAATACATGAAGCAAAAACTACCAGAACTGAAAGGAGAAATTGTATAATTGTACAATCCGCACTTGTAGTTGGAGACTTTAACACTCTTTTCTGAATAGTAGATAGACCATCAGAAAATCAACAAAGACACAGAACTTGCCACCACTACCACTCAACCAGTTTATAAAAGATGGCTTGTAAGAGATGTTTATAGAACAGTTTACCCAAGAGTAGGAGAATACATAACCTTTTCAAGCACCCACAGAACTATCAAGGTCAAATCCTATCTGAGCCATAAAACAACAAATTTAAAAGAATTGAAATCAGGTAGGATGTTGTGACCACAAAGTAATCAAACTAGAAACCAGTAATACAAAGATAACTGGAGCCTAGAGAATACTTAAAAACTAAATAAAACACTTTTTTTTTTTCCCAGAACATGGCTCTTTTAGAGATACCAAGTTTTTTCGTTGTGTTTACGATGAAACCCAAGATCTCAGGCATACTAAACAAGTGTTCCTCCATTGAGCTACCTCTCAAGGGAAGTTTTAAAAATTGCATTGAGCTAAATGAAAATATAACGTATCAGAATATTGGAATACTGGCAAAACATTACTCAAAGGGAAGTTTCTTGGGCCGGGGATTTAGCTCAGTGGTGCCACGCCTGCCTCATAAGTGCAAGGTCCTGAGTTTGATCCCCACTACTGGGGGTGGGGTGTGTGTGGAAGTTTCTTGTTTTGTTTTGGTTTTGGGTTTTTTGAGACAGGGCCTCACTATGTAGTTTTAGGATGGTTGAACTCACTAGGTATCCCAGGCTGACCTCAAACTCTCAGTGATCCTCCTGCCTCAGCCTCCTGGGTGCTGGGACTACAGGTATGTGTCACCACATCATGCTCAAAGGGAAGTTTGTAACACATAAATGCATACATTAGAAAAGAAGACTCAATCTAAGCTTCTACTTCAAGGACCTAAAATAATAAGAGTAAAATACACTAAAGCAGAAAGAAGGAAATATAAAAAAGGAACATGTTAAACTTAAAATAGAAGCAGAAAATCAATTAAACAGAAATCCATTCTTTGAATTTAAAAATTGATAAACTTTTTAGCAACATGACAAGACAATTCCTGACAGCAGGAATGAAACAGGATACCACTGTAATCTTCAGACATTTAAATATAAAGAATAGTGTACTCTGTGTAAGTTTAGCAATTTCAGTGAACTGAGGTAATTCTTCAAAAAGTACAAACTACTGTGATTCCCCAGTATGAAATAGGTAATATGAATAGCCTTAAGCTATTGAGGAAATTGAGTTAATTTTAAACTTCTATAAAAGAAATCTCCAGGCCTTTGTGTTTAGCTGGAGATTTTACCAAATGTTTCAAAATGTTTCAGCATCAAGCATGCTGACATCAGTGTTTAACACTTCGCTTGCCCGCGCAGGAAGAAAGGACAATCGGTTATTACACTTTGGTTCAATGAATGAAGTTGTCATGTTACCAACAAGGCCAAATCATCCTGCAAAACACCTCTGACCAGCACCAGAGGCTTCTGTGCTTCCCCACCAGGACTGCAAACACCTGGTGCACTCAGCAGATGCACAGCCGAACATCCTGTGATTTGGGTCTGGCTTCTCCTTGATGTCTTCCTCAAATTTCTGGCATTTCATCTCATGGGGATTCTGTGGCTCAGAGCTGTAGATGCACAGGGAATGCGCATGCATGGGTGAATGTAAGTTCTAACTGAAGACGAGTTTCCTACCAGAAATGCGGTGAATGCAACAGAGCCTGTCCTGGCTGGTGGTGTGCAGGGTGGACTTTTAAACAGCATTATTTTTGGCAGTGCCATTCTGATTTTAGTTGAGAGTATGGATCTGGTATCACCTCAGGCTCATTTCTTACAAGTGTCTATCCAGAAGGTTTTCACTGATGAGTTAAGTAACGATGTTAGTATTTAGTAAACATTTACTATGTGCGAGTCACTGCTGTCAGGACTTCATGTTCATTATGTTTTAATTCTCTCCAACTTTCTATGATTGCACTATTTTTACTTTTTACTTTTTTTTTTTTTTTTGTGGTACCAGGAATCGAACTAAGGACCTCACACTTCCGAGGCAGGCAAGGCACCACTGAGCTAAATCCCTGGCCCTATTTTTACCTCTTTTACAGTTGAAGAAACTGGTTGTAGAAGACTTAGGTAACTTGCACAGGTCACACCAATGTAAATTGTTGCTAGAATTTGAGACCAAAACACTAACCAAAGTTGTGTTAACGGATAGTCTCACTGTCCACTTGTGTGTGCATGATCACTTGCCCAATTCTTCTATCTCCCTTAGCAGCTTTGATGTGGAGAGCCCAATTCCCTTTATTCCTCTATTTAGGCCTTCTCAAATACAGTATCTGAGAGTTACTGTACTTTTTAGCATTCTCCAGTTTTTCATACTTAGGTCTGTGTTTATTTTAAACAATCTGGTCTTCCCTCTATGAAATTATATAGGGTATAGGTTGTTCCAAGCAGCTGGAAAAAATTTTTGTGAAGTAATCTTGTTCTTTCTAAATGATTTCAAGAAATCTGGAAACAAGGGGGACTGTGTTTTGTTATACCTGAAAACCAGAATAATGGTAGCAAAGCAAAAGGCAAGGTTTGTTCTCTAATTAGACTATCTTATCTCTAGATTATGTCCTGGTAGTGATAAATGACTGGTAGCAAGCATAGATATTTATTCTTTGGATGAAAATAAACCTCTCAGGATTCATATACTGTGTAGCTAGGAAGACATCTAAGATCACACTGCAAAATACACAATTAAAATGTTGTAAATATCCGTCTTTTAGATACAGATGCAAAGTTTACAATACCTCTAAAGATAAACAGCTTATGTCTTATATTCCAACTTTTATTGAAACCAGGGCATTTTCCCCAAAATTATAAACATGCTTAAGACCTTTTGTGAAATCACCTTGATGTTTGTAAGTACATGTGTAACTTCACTTTTGCAGTTAAGGAGCTTTTGAAAATGGAGCTAATTTCTTACCTTGTCTTTACAGGAGTACATCAAAGGTATCTGTGAACCAGAACTGGAGGAAAGAGAGTGTTACCCTAAGGCCATGCACTGCATTTTTGTTGGGGCTCAGAGCCTGTTTCTGAAGAGCTTGATCCAGGACACTTGTGCAGACCTCTGCATCCTGGATATCGGTCTTCTCGGCATCAGAGGAAGCGCAGAGGCTGTGGTCATGGCCAGAAGTCACATCCAGCAGTTTGTGAAGCTCTTTGAGAGCAACGAGAACCTGCCCAGCAGTCAGAAAGATTCTGAGGTGAAAAGGGAATTCAAGCAGTTTGTTGAAGCTCGAGCAGACAGTTACACAATGGATTTGTTGATTTTGCCCACTTCCTTGAAAAAAGAGCTTTTGACTCTCACCCAAGGTGAGAAGAATCCCTTTGAAACTGGAGAGGATGAGATTGTTGAAATCAGAGATGCCCTGCAAACAGAGTTTGCACAGAATGCTGCTGCAGGACCGGGTATTTCTAGAGATGAAACTGTGTTGCAGGAAGATGCGAGAAATAAAGCCGGGACTCCTGTTTCTGAGCTTACAAAACAAATGGACGCGGTCTTTTCTAGTTCACCAAATGTGGTTTTTGTGCAGCCAGTAAATGGTCTAAACCCTGACGAGACCCTTTCCAAAGAGAGAGTTTGTTACAAAAGGAGATTTTCTGATTCGGAGGAAAGGCATACCAAGAAGCAATTTTCTTTAGAAAATGTTCAAGAGGAAGAGCTTTTACATGATGATAAGACAGCTGGAAATGTAATCATTGACCTCTCTGACCCTTCTGCTGATTCTGAAAATTTAAGTCTGGATGTGAAAGACACTACCGAGGAGATGGAATACAACATCCTTGTAAACTTTTTTAAAACCATGGGCTATTCCCAAGAAATTGTCGAAAAGGTCATTAGGGAGTATGGACCTACTACTGAGCCATTATTGCTCTTGGAAGAAATTGAAAAGGAAAATAAAAGATTGCAAGAAGACAAAGAATTTTCACCCGGTACTATGTATGCAGACAGCAGTAAAACCAAAAGTAAAAGTATTTGTGGCAGCAAAAATGAACTTACAACAGATTCTACTCCAAAGAAAACACAGGTCTACACACAGCAAAATACAATAGGGAAGTTTTCTCAGTTACCATTCAGAGTAGAAGCTAAACCATGTACCTCAAATTGCAAAATTAGTACTTTCAGAACAGTGCCAACGGAACAGAAACATGAAATCCGGGGTTCGAACCAGAGCTATGTTTGTAATGCAGACCTTGAAACTGATGGCCTTTCACCCTCTGTTGCCCCACCAAGTCCCAAAGATACCAATTTTGTTTCAAGGGGAGCTTCAAGTCACCAGCCTAGAATCCCAGTTTTTCATGAAAATGGTTTACAGCAGCAAGCAGAAACCTTGCTTCCAAATAATATGAAAGCTGCATGTGAAAAACCTTTGGGATGTTGTGGCCCTCCTCAGTCTAAGCCGAACTGTCCACCCCTTTCACCAGCAAAGCCGCTACCCTCCCTGCCCCCTTCAGTTACTGAGGCAAAGTTGTCAGGACCTTCCGATCATATTGATTCCTCAGTTACCGGGGTGCAAAGGTTTCGAGATACTCTAAAAGTACCCTACAAGCTGGAATTAAAAAACGAGCCAGGAAGAGCGGATTTGAAGCATATTGTTATAGACGGGAGCAATGTTGCCATTACGTAAGTACACTCTGCAGAGTTTCACAGTGTCATCCTGTCTTGCTTTCTTCTCTCAGGGGTCTCAGAAGCACACCCATGTGAGGACTGTTTATCATCTGTCTGCTGATCTGGACCCTGCCTGGGGAGAGGGAGGTCAGATGGTTGAAAAGGAGTTTTTGGCATTGCATGTTCCAGAGTTGTGAACTTTGCTTTCCTCTCCTGAACTTCTGTCCCTGTGGACCAGAGATAGTAGAGAATTTGACCTTTTCACGTCACATTGTCCAGTGATATGCACTATAAAGAGTTTTAAGTTACAGGTTCTCAGTACAATGGGTACTGCTGGGTTCTAAACACAGGGGTGGAGCTTATGACAAAAAAGATTTTTCTGTCTTTTTATGCTGGAATGTGCTCAGTGTGTAACCCAGAGTGTGCAGAGGTAATAAGGGTGATAGATTTCTGCTCTACTTTAGTTGAGGGAATGATAGCAATTTCCTTTCTAAGGAAATTAGTCAGTTTGAGCTTTCATTGTGGGCCTGCATTCTTACTAAAAGTTTCTGTTTGCTTTTGGTAGAAAGAATGGTACCATCGTTTCTGCTTAGCCTGTCTTGGAGTTCCACTTAGGATTCTCAATTTACTCAATTTATAGCTATGGTGAGGGATTGGGTTTCTTCTCTTAAGATGTGGTTAAGCATAGAGGCCAAAGTGAGTGAGGGTCTGCGTCCCCACCCCACTGTGCACCAGCTGTTTGATTGTGGGGAGGGCCCTCCACCCCTCAGTTGAATTTGCTGCAGTATCTTGCCTTTTCCACTGTCCTTAAGGACATCTTTATCATGGGTTTCCACAACTGCTAGTTTTCAGAATCAGTCACCCTGTTATGAAAAACTTGACAAATTAAACTTGGCAGAATTAACTTAAGCAAAGACTGATTCATAAATGAGGCAGCATTCAGAACCAGAAGTCTCCCTAAGAGAGTAGATGGGCAATATTTATAGACAGAAAAAGGAAGTGGGTACAGAAACAGCTTGATTGGTCAAATTCAGCATTCACCTTATTTGGTCATGGTATGGCAAGGGATTTGCCCTATGTGATTGGCTAAGACTCAGCTGTCCCAAGAAGGTGCTGTAATACTAGGTTGCAGTTCACTACAAACAACTTCATCCCAGAGGCAGCTGCAGGGCAGCTTTAATTTAGCACCACCACCCTTTGTTGGTATTGGGGACTGAGCACAGGGCCTTGGGCATGCTAGACAAGTGCTCCACCACTGCGCTACATACTCAGCCCTTTTTATTTTGAGATAGGTTCTCAATAAATTACCAGGCTGGTCTTGAACTTGTGATCCTTCTGCTTCAGCCACAATTTAAGAAATAGGGTGCCTGCATGTGGTATTGAGGGAGAAGTTGCCAAATATTAAAAACTTTTCTGAATTGTTTGTGTGACCTTTTCCCTGGAAAAGATTAGTTGATGTCCTGAATTTTTAGAATACCCATTAAGATTATTTATTTTGTAGTACTGGAGGTCAAGGTTGGAACCCAAGGCCTTCACATTGAACTACACTGCTAGCCCTACTGCTATTTTTTATTTTGACACAGGGTCTCACTAAGTTGCCCAGGGTGGGCCCCAATTTGGGTTCCTCCCAGAATGCTGAGATTATAGGTGTGTGCCACCACACCTGGATTTATGTTTTTTTCAGCTCTAGGAGTGAACCCAGGGCGCCACACATTTTAGGGAAGCATTCTCCCACAGAGCTGCATTCCCAGGCCACATATTATTTGTAAGGAAGTTTTAAATACTATATACTATTTTATCCAGAAAGAGTGTCGTGTATTTGATGCTGCTGCTTCTGCTGTTGGTGTAAAGTTTCACTGCACACAGAGGCGAGCAAGGCTCAGGCCTCAGCTGCTTACCTCAGGCCCAGGGAAGTTGCTCAGCTCCTCTGGCTTCCTCTCAGTGTGGACCCTTCTTGATGGGCACAGGCCACTTGTCCCGGGGCACTTGGCACACCTGGCGTAGCACTGTGGTGCACCCCTTGGCCAGTGTCCCACATGAACTTACTGTGCTTGGCGAGGTGCCACTGCCTGCTTGGCATGTTGTTGGTCACTTTGTGGTCCTATGGAGGCCAGGGCCTTTGGGAGCAGAGCCACAGTGCTGTGGAAGGGTGAGGTGGTGTCTGGCCTGGTCCCCACCTCCCCAGGATGCAGCCCCTGCTTCCCAGGGCCTGGTCACCATGCTGGCAGGCTCAGCCCCATGGCTGTAATGTGTTGTGTTTTTTTTGGTACCGGGGATCAAACTCAGGACCTTGCACTTGAGAGGCAGGCACGGGTGGCACTGAGCCATGTAATGTGCAGTTTTAAAAAGAGAAGGATTATTTTGCCTTTTATTTCGAGAATGAACTTGGTGCTATTTTGTTGTCCACAAAGAAAGAAAATGCCAACATTTCAGATGTAAAGTTTGAAGACAAGCTGTAAAAATATATAGTATACTTGTCTTTGGTTCCAAAAATCGCTTTTTATTATCATTTCACTTTGGTTTTTGGCAGCTGTGCTGGGAAAACCCAGCAGATTACCCCCAGCACCATAGCATTACCTAAGTAAAGGTATACAGTGTAGTTTCAGTCAGCTGGAGTCCGAGCCAGCTCCACTTCCTCAGGGTTAAGACTTCTTGAGCCGAGTGCTAAGAAACTTAGGCTACAACTGTAACACTACTCTTTCCCCAGAAACTAACTCTGTCCTCCTCCTCCTCTTTCTGTCTGTCTGTCTGCCTGTCTATCTTTTGAGACAGTGTCTCACTGTACAGTTCAGGCTGGCCTGGAACTTGCAGCAATCCTCCTGCCTCAGCCTCCCAAGTGCTAGGATTGCAGTTGTGAGCCACCAGCGTGGTTCAGAAACTGTAAAAAAAATTCTTTTTGTTTGTATATGTTTGTGATACATAATGAATATGTTCATTATAGGGTTTTCATACATACTGCTTCTTGATCCTGTTCCTTTCTCCATCCCTTCCCATAGAAACTTGATATATGTGGAAAAATGCCCCACACCGATGTTCAGAGAATAAGAATGCAAATAGACATCTACAGAGCCATGATGGGATGCTTTGTAAAGTTCCTTTAGGAGTGGTGGCTAGCATCACCTCTGTGTCAGTGGGATTTAGCGCTGCTGGCTACCTGAGCCAAGGTGTTTTGCAGTCTGGCTCCTCCCATCTGTGCCAATCCCAAGACTGGGACCCAAGAATATGACTGCCTGTTTCCTAACACCCTTGAGTACAGTGCTTTCTCTTTTGAACACCACTGATGTGTACACTAAGGCAAACCTGCAAACTTTTCCTGATGTTTCTTGAAAACTGATTATTTGAGGGGGGATTTGAATTTTCTTTGAATTCAGATGTTTCAGTTTAAAAGCAGAACTTTCACTAAAGGATGTGTTGCCTAGACAAGTTACTTAATTGGATATAGATTGACCTGAAAATGTCAGTAATTAAAATTACTGAAAGAAACTGTTTATTAATACATATAGGGTTTAATTTTGGGGTGATGGAAATATTTTGGAACTAGATATAAGTGGTGGTTGCACAGCATTGTGAATGTACTAAATGCTATTGAATTGGCCTCTTGCTTATGATTATTTTATGTGAATTTCACCTCAGCACACTGAAAATTGGCTTATTTTGAAACAGATGCTTCCAGGGCCAAGGATTTAGCTCAGTGGTACCTCGCCTTCCTTGCAAGCACAAGGTCCTGAGTTCAATCCATGATGGTGCATGCCTGTAATCCCAGCACTCAGGAAGCTGAGGCAGGAGGATCACCTCGAGTTTGAGGCCAGCCTGAGCTACAAAGTGAGACCCTGCCTCAAAAACAAAACAAAAGAAAAATAAATAAATACAGACTTGTGAATGGAAAATTTAGAGATTAGGATGTTTGCTTGTTTTGTTTTGTTTTTTGTTTGCTGCTGCTTTCTTTATTTTTTGAGACAAGGTCTCACTGTGTAGGCTGGACTTGAACTCACTATGTAGCTGAGATTGGCCTTGAATTTGAATTGATCCTCCTGCCTTAGCCTCCTGAATGCTAGGGTGACAGGCATGTGCCACAGTTTTTGTATTTTTGAGATAGGGTCTTGCTATGTAGCCCAGGCTGTCCTCAGATCCACCTGCCTCAACCTCCCAAGTGTTTGATTACAGGTGTGCAACATGCCAACTAGCTATAGATTAGGATTTTTTTCAAGTTCAAAAACTTGTTTTATTTCTTGTTACCCAAGAACCTTTGAAAAGATTATTATACAAGTCATGGCATGAAAAATGAGCTTCAGGCAGCCCCTGCTGGCCCTGGCCCGAGAAATGTACATATTTACTTGGGCCCTTAGAAAGCAGGGCCCTAACCCACTGAGTGGGCTGCTGGAGACAGGTGGAGGAGGGGCCAAGGCTTCACGCAGTGGCAGGCAAGAGACAGCTGTGTTGAAGGCACTCAGTGACATGTACCATTTACGGAGGTCTGCAGGGCCCCCTGCACCCAGGCCTGGACCTGGGTACAGTGAGTGACCTCCCCCCAACACACAGTGTGCAAGGTCCGAGGTCAGGGTTCCAGGTCAGCTGCCCTGCTCCCAGAAAGTATTGTTATGGCATGGGTGGGACCTGCAGGCCCAGCAAAGGGACCCACCCACCCAGTAGATTAGAATTTTTTGGTTTTCTTGAGACGAGGTCTTGCCATGTGTAGTTTAGGCTGACCTTGAACTCATTTTGTAGTCCAGGCTGGCCTAAAACTAATTATCCTGCCTCAGCCTCCTGAGTGCTAGGATAACAGGCATGCACCACCACACCTGGCTCCAGTAGGTTAGGATTTTTAAAGAGACTTTTCACCACTCATTTGCACAATTCATGGTTGCCATTCTAATGATCAACTTAAATTTTAACTGAGGATATCATTTAATTAAGTAGTTTAAATCTTTTTTTTTTTTTTTTGGTACCGGGGCTCGAACTCTGGTCCTTGTGCTTACGTAGCAGGTGGTGAAACCACTGAGCTAAATCCCTGGCCC